GCAGATAGGGACGGCTTCTGATCCAGTGATACAACAACGTAGCAGCAGATCCAAAAGAGCACGGCCACGGCAAAACATAGGGACGGATGGATGGTGGCGGGCAAGGGAAACCCAGCGGCGGCGGCGGCCAGCAGGAAGCCATGGCGCCGGCGGCAGCACAGCAAGCCCATGGCAAAACAATAGATCAGAGTATGTACCAGGTCACTACGTCCGTGGCGGCGTCGTTCGTCGACCTGGACGGCGAGCGATGGAGGAGCGGCTTCCTTCCTGTACGACCGCCACGAACGATGGAGAAGCGCGCGAAGGATAGACCGACGGCAAAAGAAGGTGCGCCAGGATGGACTCCACGCGGGAAGGCGAATCCGCATGACCGATGAGACGCGCAAAGTTACGCGCGTGGGGAGGAGATTTCCCAAGTGTCTAAATATTAGGAGGATGGATTAGAAACTGTTGGAGAGAGATTTTTTCTCATTTTCCTAAAAACCAAGTATTAGGAAGGCAAATAGAAAACTCTTGGAGATGCTCTTAGTTTAGGCGGGGTGATTAGCGGGGTGAGGACGATAACACGCGATTCTTTTTAGTTGTGTATAGATATAGAAGAGAAGAGATATACATGTGGCCTCATTTTGAATTTGCACCGAACTACCATAATGTGGTTTAGCCGCTTCCATCAAGTTTATATTCAAGGGATTTGAAAGGCTTTCGCTTCTAATTGAATGGCTAATGGCGGTTGTATTTTTCATAGGAAATAAATGACTGCTGTGTAATGCATGTCTTATTGATATGGGCCGGGAACTCATTTGCCAACGAGCAACCGGACCGTGCCCTATCCAAACGCAAGGGGCCAGTCCACTGCTTTGCTCTGGCCACGCCCCTAGCTATAAAGCCGCACCCAGGGTTCAAAATTTCGGCGAAATTTCGGCCGAATTTCACGAAATTCAGTAATTTCGGTGGTGGCCGAAAGAAAACTCCGAAATTTTTTAATACACTAATACATGTGCTATATAACTCTAATCTTATATTTTTCTATTATTTATATTGCATATTCTTCTATTTAATAGATATGTAGTCATAAATTATACTAATATTTGTTTAAATCCAAATTTTTTTAGAAAAAATATACTTCATGTGTTAATCTCTAAAAATATTTTGGCAAAATTTCGGCTGAATTTCGCGAAATTCGGTAATTTCGGTGGTGGCCATAGGGACGATAAGACCATAAGAGGCTGCCAGGGAAAGGAAAACTCAAATTGTGGTCAATCGGACAACCGGTGAATAAGTATCAAAGAAATCCTCACCTTCCTTTTGAGTATAACCCTTAGCCACAAGCCTTGCCTTGTACCTCTCGATAGTACCATCAGGCCTAAGTTTTTTCTTGAACACCCATTTGCACCCTATAGGCTTGCACCCATAGGGACGATCAACAATTTCTCAAGTTCCATTAGATATAACAGAATCCATCTCACTCCGTACTACTTCCTTCCATAAGTCACCATTAGGAGAGGAATATGCCTCTTCAATGGTCGTTGGTGTGTCATCCATAAGGTACACAATATAGTCATCACCAAAAGACTTTCCAGTCCTCTGTCTCTTACTTTTTCTTGTGACTATAGTGTCATCCCCCTTAGGATTTTGCATATAGGATTCCTCAGTTTGTTCTATTGGAGTAAAATTTTCATGCTCATGGAGAATTATAAATTCATGACTAGTCGTGCTAGGTGTATTTTTTATGGAAAACTCATTCTCAAAAAATGTAGCGTCTCTAGATTCCATGATTGTATCAACAGCCATCTCAGGAACACTAGAGTTTATGATTAAAAATCTATAACCCACGCTGTAAATAGCATAACCAAGAAAGACACAATCAACAGTCTTTGATCTAAGCTTTCGCTTTTTATTTATTGGCACATTCACCTTTGTCAAACAACCCCAAGTTCGTAGGTAAGAGAGATTTAATCTCTTCTTCTCCCATTCCTCGAATGGTGTAATTTCTTTGTTCTTTGTGGGCACTCTATTTAGGACATGACATGTTGTCAATATAGCCTCACCCCACCATTTCTTAGATAGTTCCGCAGTCTCTAACATGGAATTTACCAAATCAGTTAGAGTGTGGTTCTTTCTCTCTGCAATCCCATTGGACTGTGGTGAGTATGGTGGCGTCCTCTCATGAATAATTCCATGCACCGCGTAAAACTCAGAAAATTCATTTGAGAAATATTCTCCCCCGCGCACGATCGGACCACAAACGCTTGATTTTCTTCTCAAGTTGATTTTCTACCTCAACTTTATAGACTTTAAAATAATACAACGCTTCATCTTTAGTTTTTAATAAATACACGTAGCAAAATCTAGTACAATCATCTATAAATGTCATGAAGTATCGTTTACCGCCTTTAGTCAATTCGTCATTCATTTCACATAAATCAGAATGAACGAGTTCTAATGGTGTCAAGTTCCTCGCCTCAGGAGCCTTGTGAGACTTGCGCAGTTGCTTCGATTGCACACACACCTGGCACTTATAATCTTTGACTAAATTAAATTTCAAGATTAAATTCAGATTTGCAAGCCACGTGAGATAGCCAAAATTAAGGTGACAAGTCGTGAATGCCATATATTCGACTCATCCGAAACATTAACATTGTTCACCACTTTATTACACACATCATCAAGCAAAGATAAGCGGAACAAGCCTCCGCAATCATAACATTTTCCAACAAATGTTCCATGTCTCGACACAACACACTTATTGGACTCAAGGATAATTTTAAAGCCATCCCGACACATTTGAGAAGCGTTAACAAGATTCTTCTTGATGCAGGGGACATGCTGCACGTTCTTTAATACCACCGTCTTTCTCGAAGAAAACTTCAGAACGACCGTACCAGCACCAAGAATACGCACATGCGAACCGTTTCCCATTAGCAAGGCTCCAGTCCTGTCGGCCTGATAGGAAGTAAACAAAGAAACATCAGCACACACATGAATATTAGCACCGTTGTCCATCCACCACTCAGGTGAAAGACAAACTGAAAGAATAAAAGGTAAAGAACTACCATACCTAGATGTTCCTCCTCCAGTCTCGCTAATCACCACGTTTGCTGATTTTTTTTCTTGCTTATATTTGCGGTCTGGGCACGTATTTGCCCAATGCTCATTACTCCCGCAAACAAAGTAACCTCCACCTTTCTTGTTGTTTTTTTTCTTAAACTGTGCAATTTGCTTAGGCTTTGCATTGTTGTTCTCTTGCATGTTCTTCTTCTTTTTATTATGAGATGCAAATGAGTTTTTCTTCTGCACTATATTGGCGGCGAAAGACTCAGCTCATTTTCCACGGTTGTCTTTTGCTCTCGCCCTCTCCTCAACATCAAGAGATACAATAAGCTCAGCCACGCTAAACTCTTGTCTCTTGTGTTTTAGAGAAGTAGTAAAGTCCCTCCAAGAAGATGGCAGCTTAGTGATTATACCGCCGGCCACAAACTTGTCGAGCAATAAACATGGAAAATGTTCTAGTTCCTTTGCTAGCGCCTGTATCTCAAGAGCTTGTTCGACCACAGAACGGTTTTCAACCATTTTGTAGTCATACAGCTGCTCCATAAGGTACAGCTCACTGCCAGCATCAGAAACTCTAAACTTTGCCTCAAGAGTATCCCATAATTCTTTGCCTGATGTGCAAGATATGTAGTTTTTCTCATACTTGAGATGAAGTGCACTGATCACGGCGTCTCGAAACAGGTTATCGGCAGCTAAGAACTTTTTCTCCTCCCCAGGAGTAAACTGTTCAGGCTTCCCCTGTGCAGCGTGATAGCAGTTCATCGCAGTCAACCACAATACCATCTTGGCACGCCATATCATAAAATTGTTGCCATCAAAATTATTTGGCTTCAAAGCAGCAGCAAAACCACTGACAGAAAATTATCTAAGATTAGGTTTTTGGATTATTAGAAATTTAGGCATTTTTATTATCAGTTTAATCCAGAAAAATTACATCAGCAGGTTCGTGACGGCATATATGTACATGTGTATATCTCTAACGAACGCTACAGCATGCAGAGATGACATACAGATAAATACAGTAAAAGCGCAGATTACAGTAATCAGAGAGATTAGACTGTACCCAGCGGAGGGTCCCATACCGAGGGCATCGGAGGCTCCATTCGCACTAGTCGGCATAGTGCGTTGCTCGAAGTCGTGGACCACAGTCGGTGCAGAACGATGTTCGCAGTGCAGTCCCACGAACGGATCACCAGAAAGAAGACGCTTTGCCTTACTGTTCTGCAGGCAATCACCAGGAAGAAGACGAGTTCCGAGAGCGATCACCACCAGGAAGAAGGCGACGGGTTCCGAGAGTGATCACCACCAGGAAGAAGCCGTACGTAGATGAGCAGTCGTGGATCGCTCCCCAAAAAACTAATCGCCGCACACCCCATGCAAGGTTCTCAAGCGGGCGAGGGTTCTGGAGGCACCTGCTCTCCCGCTGCTCCGTACGCGCAGAGGTACGGGACGGGAAAGCCAGAAGGCTGCTGAGATGTGGTTTCTCTCGGGAGCAGTTGCGGTAGACTAAGATCTGGACTGACAGAGGACTGATATATGGTTGCGACGGGAAGGGAGAGAGGCAGCGAAGAATCCCAGGAGACGGAGAAACGGAAGCAAAAAGGACGGTAACCGACGCAATCAGTTCGCCTCCACCATCAAAGGAAATAACTCCCGTGATTATGTGGATTAAGTTGCAAAAGACTGGCCACGCCCGCTCGCTGCTTGCCTGCCTCACCACGGCCACGGCGGCGGCGGCGCGCGCGCGTGGCACACCTTTATCCTTTTCTCAGCTTCTCAATTTAGATGAATAATTTCCAACAATATAAGCTGAGTTAGCGATCAGTCAAAATCCCGTATGGTATTAAACCATACAACGTTTAATATTACGTAGCATAGAGTTTTATTTGATTTATTAAATATTATATGACGTAAGTCCATATTATATCCAACATTGGCAGGCGGGCAAGATGAGCATGATCGACGTGCTCACACGGGTGAACGCCATTTGCAAGAAGTACGACCGGTACGACGCCGACAAGCACCGGAACGACGGCGACCATTTCTCGCGCCTCTACGCTGCCGTGGACGCCGAGATCGACGCCGCCATCGAGGTCTCCCTCCAGTGATTTTCCTCTCGCCCTTGGCTGCCTTACAGTTACAGGTGGGTGGTTGGCCGCCACTGAAACCATGCAAGGCCACTCATGTCTGGTGACTCTCGGTTCAGAAATCGGCGAGGGCCGCGAAGGAGAAGAACCGGGCGGACTCGGTGACCCTGAACGCCGACGTGCGGCGGAGCAAGGCGCGGCTCCTGGAGGAGGTGGTCAAGCTCCAGAAGATAGCCGCCAAGAAGGTGAAAGGGCTCCCGCCAGAGGAAAAGGCGCTGCGGGCTGATCTGGTGGCCGCGCTGCCCCACAGGATCCAGTCCATCCTCGACTGCCACGACGGTGGCGCCACAAACCAGGACGCCGGCTGGAATGCTCGACCGGGGATGAAGTTGGACGATTATTCAGGTCTCCATTTTAGTTCAACTTTTGAAATTTCGTATTAGCAGTAACCGCTGATCGTACGTAGTGAATCGACAGCTCGATTCATCTAGTGAACTTGGGGATTTGGCTGTGTAATAAACAAGGTCAAACTGAGATTGTTCGTCGTTTTTTTGTTTCCAAATTCAGCTGAAAGATTAGAGGAGGGCTACTTCCACACAACTGAGTCAGAGCAGTTTAGGAGAGAGTACGAGATGCGGCGAATCAAGCAGGCAGGTCTTCCTTCCCTTGCCGCGGAGACTGCTATTTCTTCTTCTGAACATGAAAAATCATACCAACTTGTCATCAGAATTCAGATGGGATGTGCAGGATGAAGGGCTGGACTTCATCTCTCAAGGTCTGGACACGCTCAAGAATCTGGCCGAGGACATGGACGAGGTTAGTTCTGTCGCAAATGCAAGCTGCTAACTTCTCTGGTTGCATTGGGTTACGTTAACATATTGTCCATGTAGCTCTGCAGGAACTGGATAGGCAGGTCCCTCTCATGGATGAGATTGACACCAAGGTTAGCGTATAGTATTTGCTCAGCACCTGTTGACTGTTATCGTCTTGTTTTATTTATCCCTTTTAAGAAAGAAAAACTGTTATACTCTTGTTTTATTATCCCAGAAACAGAAATGGTATCCTCTTTGTTTGAGGTTAAATGATGTGCACGGTTTTTGTGCAGGTGGATAAAGCTAATTTAGAGATCAGGGTGACTAACGTCAGACTAAAACAAACTGTCAACCAGGTGGCTTGCTTTTTATATATTGCTGAACTCTATAACTTATATACTCCTAGTTAACAGGATTTTCTCACATTTGTGGGGAAATGTTCTCAGCTCTGCTGACTAATGTAGTTTGTTTTTGTTTGGAGCAGTTTCGATCGACCAGGAATTTCACAATTGATATCATCTTGATCTGCATCATTCTTGGCATTGCAACATACCTCTACAAGTAACTTCGTCAGCTTTACTGAATGCAGTATTTTTCTTTATTCATTTGTCCGGTCCTCTGAATTTTGATCGATCTGCGTGTTTCACTTTCTGGTGCAGCATTCTCTCCCAGTGAATCTTCACAACATGATAACACCGGCATCTAAATGATACGCTCGGTAAATGTATTTTCAAACAACTGAATTGTTATGGTAAGATACTAACATCAGCATCTCCGGTGCAGAAATGATGCGCTCGGTAAATGTATTTTCAAAGAATCCTTTCGGGCAGCTGTATTTTTGAAGAACCCTTAGCATGTCTCCAGGATAACCTACGTCATCATCTGTTGTGAAGAAAAGGAACCTCACAATAATACAGAGGCCAGACGATATAGCATTACTTTTTGTCCAAGGCTTACTTTTTGTCCAAGGCTATCTATAGTTTGTATTGCTGTCACGAGCATACGCAGATGAAAGTTTGATTGTTCAAGCAATTGAAATAATGGGCATATATTCACAAAAAAGAAAAGGCAAGGATTAATAGTGGAATGCATAAAACGGTAATTTGTAACGGACTTCAAATCCATACAACCACCACCAACCTTGTAGCAATATGACATGGTTTTGCATTACATCAATCTCATATCAGCAGGCCAGTTTAACCTACTCCCTACTTTCGCTGGATTCCAAAGAATCTAACTAATTGATGTGTAATAATACATGATCATGAAAAATAGCATCATTTCTGTCAAACAAGATACTCAGTTAAACAAAATTTAATGAGCTTTGAAGCATCTCTTGTTTGTTCCATGGTCACCGCATCTTGTAGAACTGTGTTCTTGATACCTGACACCTATGCCCATTTATGGAGTACTTGAGCTTAATGTCGATATCTCGAGGGTTGTTCTTATTGGGTGTGACTGTCATGCTACCCATCAGGGTTTCCCCCTGGCAGATAGTTATTACATCCTCGAGGTAAAGAACAGTTTGCTTCCAGTGAGTGGCTTTTGATCTCGGGCCTGCAAGTAGTAGTTTGGAAATGAGTTGTGTTTACCAAATTTGCTCCTAAATCACAATACCTTGCGGATGGAAGCTAGGAAACAACAAACCTGTTGAGAAGCCCATCAGCTTATGGCATTTGGTGAATGACACATCGAAGTATGCAACAAGAGCATGAATGTAATCATTCCGCTCTGCAACCAGCTTGAATGGTACAGTAAAGGACATGTCACCAGGGGTCATTTTGGAGATATCCATTGTCTGAAATACATAGGATTTGAGCTCAAATGTCGTCCAATGAAAAATTAAGGAAGCTATGCCTTGGTTAGGGATGCAAATACCTTCAGTAACTGGCAGTTAGTGACAATCTGATTTGCGTCCACTGTATCTACCAGTGGCTCCATCATCGCCTGTTTCTTTATACAGCTCATATCAAATCCATATACATTATTCCAAACTGCAAAAAGGACAACAGAAAACCCAAACAGAACTTCATTACTAAATAAATAACCCAGTCAAAATTGCTGAAACCAAAGCTTTTTTTTATAAAGGCAATAAGACTCAGTGTTGATAGGTTTTACAAACCATGTACCCAATGAACTTACATTCAATTTTGTCTTCCTTATATTCTGCATCTTCAATCGCAGTAAGACGCAAAGAAGTCTTGTCTGGCAAGACCACACCACCATCAACCTACATAAAAGTAGCACAACCAAAGCTGCCCTCAGAAAGTTCAAATACTTTACACAAAGCACAGAACAACAGATAAAGATATTCATAGACAAACAAATTGCATTTTTGTAAAAAACATCAATAAGTGCTAGAAAGAGTATATAAACATGCATTGAACCAAACATGTTCCATAAATTGTGAAAAACAGAATCCAAACATTGTATTAATAATTAATAATTTTATAAAGGATCACTTACAAGCCATTTATCACGTGCATATAGGACAGTGTTCAACATATTCTCGAACAGGAGGAAATAACCCATCCACTCAGAGATGATGACATCTACTTTTGGGACTGGAAGTTCTATTTCTTCCACTTTCCCTTTTATTACAGTTATGACTGCAGAGATTAAAATAATTGTAAGGATATGTCATAGTCAAATAAGCATTAAATGTAGAAACAGAACAGAGAGTGAAACGGTGACAGGAATCTACCATCAGAATATCCATTTGATTTCACAATTTCCTTTGCCATGTCTGCCATCTGGGAACATTCAATCTGTAAAAGTAAGAACAGATCAACATATATATATTAGTAAAAGTATTATCAGAGTTATTAAAAGCACATTCACAAGATGTCAAGATGACAGAAGAACAATGGCTAAGACTAAGAACGGATCAGCAAAGAAGGATTAAAGTTAAAAACACATTCACAAGATGCCAACATGACAGGAAAACGGTGTCTGATAAAAAACTACATACCCTAAACTATAGAACTTATCATATCGTAAACTGCATGTTGTCAATACAGGATATTGCAAGCCCTCCATTTGTAGACAATGAACATATCCCCCACATATGAAAATGGCCATCCATTTTTTTTACAAAAAAAAAGACAAAAACAAACACTACAGTTTTTGAGGAAAAATAAAGGTTTTTATCTACACGAGAAACAGTTATTTCAAGCTGATGCAGAATTTAGATTCAATTCTGTGCTTATCATGCGTCTAAAGTTTATACAAATAGGTTAGATAGCTTCTCTTTAATTTCGTATTCAGATCATAGATAGCTGTGACTTGCATGGTAATTAGGATACAAGTCTCTACAAGAAAGTGTGGCGCTGTGGCAGACAATGCTTATAACAGTTACGAATGAATATAGAAAAGATGTATCCACTAAAATAACTTATATATGATCGAAGTCACCATAATAGTGAAATGAAAACATGAACAAAAGTGAGCCAACTAACCGCATAGACATGTTTAGCTCCTGCTTTTGCGCAGAAAAGTGAAAGAATTCCGGTTCCAGCACCAACATCAAGGACTACTTTGTCCTTGATAAGAAAGCTGTTCTGGGAGATAACATTTTGATATGTTTTTGTCCGAACGACATCTTTTAGCATTTCCTGCAGTCAGTACAAGCAAATAATTGGCATCTCCACTGCATAGACATCCTTGCTCCAAATATATATCAATTGCTTGTAAAACATGATGCTACTAGGCCACCACATGTAAGGTTTGTTTCAGAATCACTTACTTCATGAATACCTGCAAAACAAAGACATGGGAAACCTGAGTAAATATTGCACTTCCTTAAACGGAGAAGCGTGAGTAGTTGAGTACATAGTTATACTTATATACTGTATAGAAACAGAACGCAGAAGGTAAATTTAAAAAATGGTAGCGCATATGATAACAAAGGAAAAATTTAGTACAAGAGAGGACATGTGCTACATGAATCAGGTGATGACAAAATTAAAGTTTCCAGCAATTCAATTCTAATGTTTCTTCATCAGAACAGCACTAAAACAGCCTAAAGTACACCAGAAACGAAATAACAGAAGAGTGCACAACACTTCAACAACAACATCCATACAATTACTAACACCACTTAAATCAATTAAACAGAACAAGAATACATTTTTAGCGCCTTTATTTTCCCGACACATTACAATGACCACCAAACATTTAACTACACATTGGCTGAATAATAGCCACATCAAAGTATGTAGCCACTGAAGATAGGAATAATTGTCCTACGCCAGTTGTAAACTAGATTGTTAGTAGTAGCTAATGATCACAATTTCAGGAAAGATCAATTTTTCAGCCGAAAAACAACTTCAGTCGAACATTTATCATCTGGTGGAGCAATGAAAAGTCACACACACGGTGCAGAACCAACTAAACAACAATCTTTCGGTTCCTCCTCCACGCATAGTAAAGCTCTGGTTGATGATCAATCACATCGTTAACACTCAATTTCTATTATATACACGATGTCAATAATCTATCAGAAGTACCAACATACAGGCAACACCAATACACAAAAGAAAATCTTTTTGCTGCTTGACAATCATCACCATCGAAATTCTAAATTCTCCACTCACACTAATACTGCAAATGAATATTGAATCCTATAAATGGTTAATGTACAGTAACCAGGCTAAAGCTCTATCCAACGCAAGCACCAAATCCGGGCAGGCAAAGGCCAATCCTTTCCCCACTTACAACTATACGAGAAACTTTGTCACTTCCAAGATCGAAGCTCTGGATACAGAACATCCAAATCTGCGGGGCAATAACGCTAAATCGAACAGCAGGGGCGCGCGTACCGAAATGGGAGTATGAGTCGAAGTAGTAATCGGCGCTGGTCTTTTCGCTTCCAATCACCTCCGTCGCCGCCTGCTCGTCCTCCCCCTCCGCGTCGAGGCTCTCTTCCACCTCCATCCCCACCTCTTCTGCCTCCTCGTCGGAGTCGAACCTCAGCCGCGACGCCGTGGCCTCCGCCAGGCCGCCGTTGGCGTCGCGGTTGCCGCCCTTGCGCCGATCCATGGATCTCTGGAGCGCGTCGGCGAGTTCGATGTGGCGCGCCGCAAAGCAGGGGAGAGGGAAAACTAGGGTTTTGCGAGGGAGAAGGGTTTGGGCAAGAGAGGTTTTATAGCCACGGCCCACGGTGGCGCAAATATCTGCCCGGCCCTTGCAGCTCACAAGTCACAGTGCAGCGTGTACCAGTTGGAGCCGGAGTCCACTTCTCTACATTGGAGACGAAGGAAAAGGCAGGTGTTTTTCGGGAGGAAAAAGTCAACATTAGCTTCCTTAATTTTCGTAAAAGTCTATTTTTTCTGTGAAATTCTAAAACCGGGCAAAACACATCTCTCAATATTACCTTCCTCAATTTTCACGAATGTCCGTTTTTCCTCCCAAAACTCTAAAATCGGACAAAACACCTCTCTCAACTTTTAAAATCGTTCGTCCTGCCTCTCTGGCCTTTTTATAAATGGTTTTAAAGACGGTTTTGTCTTTTGTTTTTTTTATTTATTTCTACTGAATTTTTAAAAAATTATAGTAAATTACAGAAAAATTATAAAATAAAAAATCTAATTTTATTAGACTTCATATGAGTAGATCTACATAGTGAATATATAATATAGTATACTTTAGTATAAAGTTTTTGTTGTGGTTTTAGATCTATGCTTTTCTGTAATTAAATGGAATAATTCATGGCTGTAGTTTCTATGGTTCAATTACGGTAAAAATTTTATGGTGGACTAATAATTGTATGCTTAAACTGTAGTAGAAATTTTATACTCATTGGATCATGTATAACTTAGTTATAGATTTTATTTAGGTTTATGCTTGTTAAATATAAATAAATCTATAACTAAGCTATACATGATTGAATGGGTATGAAATTTTTACAACAGTTCAATCATACAATAATTAACTCACCATAAAAATTTCATCATAATTGGACATTAAAAACTGTAGCTATGAATTATTCTAATTAATTACCTAAAAGCATATATCTAAAGTCACAACAAAAATTTTATACTAAAACATACCATATTATATGTTCACTATGTAGATCTACTCATGTGTAGTCCAATAAAATTAGGTTTTTCATTTTATGATTTTTCTGTGATTTACTATGATTTTTCAAAAATTCAACCGAAATAAATAAAAAAAAAGACAAAACCACCTTCAAAATTGCTTATAACAGGGCTAGGGAGGTAAGATGAACGATTTTAAAAGTTGAGGGACATGTTTTTCCCGGTTTAGAAGTTCAGGGAGAAAAGCGGACTTTCGCGAAAGTTAAGGAATGTAATGTGGATTTTTTTCCTTTTTAGGAAGTTAAAAGCTCTAATTTGGTTTTGATGAATCGATGAAACACTAAATGCTAATCTAGTTTATCAAAGTCATCATGAGATAGGAAGCACATTCTAAGTAATGGAGCAAGTGGTGAAAATCATGATGATGGTGTGACCATGGTGATGATCTAGTGCTCACCTTGAAAAATAAGAAAGAGAAACAAAAAGCTCAAGACAAAGGTGAAACTTGATATGAGCTTTTTTGGGGTTTAGTGATCGAGACACTTAGCGAGTGTGATCACATTTAGGATCGATAGCCGTACTATTAAGAGGAATGAAACTCGTTTCGAAATATGGTTGTCAAAGAGCTTTTGTACTATTAAGAGGTCACTGTGCTGACCGGACGCTGGACCTGCGTGTCTAGTCACTAGTGGAGCAGTGGCGCGGTCTCGGCCTAGTTAACCGGACGCTACCGTGAGGAAGTGATCGGACGCGTAGCCTCTGGGTCCGGTGAACGATGACGTATGGTGACGTGGCGGCGAAACTGTTGGCGCGCAGCGGCAGTGAGGACCGGACTCAGCCCTGAGTCCGGTCGTGCCCCCTCTGACGTGTCCAATCGAGAAAGTGCTGCTCTAGATGCTCTCTGGATGTGACCGAACTCCGCATTGATGGAGTGTCCGGTCATTTCATCGGCGCGTCAGGTCACTGGGTTGGCGCCTCGGGCGAGGGCGCGAGCGTACGCTAGGCGGCCGCGTCCTATCTCGGCGTGGTGCATCCGATCGTTCATTAATTTGAGCGCGTGATCGAGTTGACCATTGGGATTAGATGGCGCATGTTTGAAGCTATGACACGTGGCAGCGATCCCACGACCGAACGCAGAGGGCCGAGTGTCCGGTCGATCTTACCGGCACATCCAGTCACCACGCGGTGAGCTTCCCGTGGTGCCCAACGGCTCAATTTCGAGGAGATGCCTATATAAGACGTTTGGCCAGCTCTAGCTCACACTCTTGGCCATTTGCATTGACATAGCAACCTTCTGAGCTTAGCCAAAGCCCTCCCACTCATCTCCATCATTGATTCATCATCTTTGTGAGATTGGGAGTGAATCCAAATGTGTTGCTTGAGTGATTGTATCTAGAGGCACTTGATGTTCGTGTTTTGCTGCAGGATTCGCTTTGTTACTCTTGGTGGTTGCCGCCACCTAGACGGCTTGGAGCAGCGAGGATCGTCGAGCGGAGGAAGGTGCTTGTCTTTGGCTCCAATCGTGGTGATTGTGAGGGGTTCTTCACCTTTTCCCAGCGAAGAGCCAAAAGGTACACTAATGGATTGCTCGTGGTTTGTGTGATCCTCATCTTGTGTTGGTTGTGCCGAACCCGGTTCTGGGTTTGGCGTGTGATGCCAATTGGCGCGTGAACCTTTAAGTGAGTGAATCACCACAACGGGGACTAGCTTGCCGACAAGCAAGTAAATCTCAGAGAAAAAATCATTGTCTTGATTGTCTCCTTAGTATTCATTGGCATTCATTGATTGATCACTTGCCACGGCAGTATACCTCTCTACCACTCTCTTGTATTACATTGTGCCTTTACTTGTGTAGACCTTGTGGTAATTGAAACTAGCTAGTGTAGCTCTTAGTTGTAGTTCTCTTGCTAGCTTGCTCACCTTGGTGTAAATTAGTGACTTAGCATTGTTGTGATATACTAGATATCATAGATTTTAGAATTGGGTAGTTGGCTTGCAACACAAGTGCAGTGCTAGCGCAAAATTTGCTTCGCCATCTTATTTACTAATCACTTGCCTTAGTATTGTTGTAAAAAAAATTAATAGGCAATCCACCCCTCCTCTAGACATTATGACCTTTCAAGTGGTATCAGAGTCGTGGTCATCGTGATTTGAGGCTTAACGATCTTCGGTGTCAAAATGGATCAAATCAACAACACCAAGAAGCCACCCTAATTTGATGACACAAATTATCTTTATTGAAAGTCAAAGATGGCCACTCATATCAAGTCAATCAATAGAAGAGTGTGGATGGTGGTGGAGACCAAAATTGAGATAGCCGATCCAGAGAATTCCACCGTGGCCAAAGAAGTGCTTCTCCAAAACAATGACATTGCTCTTAGTGCTATTCATGATGCTATTGATGAGAGAACATTTGAACAAATCAAGAACATCAAGATGGCTCATGAAGCTTGAAAGAAGTTGGAAGAATCATTTGAGGACACCAAGGCAATAAAAGGTGCAAAGGCATACATTTTCAAGGAGAAATTTGTTAGCTTCAAGATGGAGGAAGATGAGAGTGTGCCAGACATGTTTCATCAGATGGAAGTATTTGTCAATGATCTCAAAGCACTTGGTGAGAAGGTGAAAGACAAGGACTTCTCTCATAAGTTCTTGAGATGCTTACCCACAAGATTTGACATGTTGGTCACCTTGCTAGTGAGGACCGTTTTGGACACAATGACACCAAACCAAATCTTGGGAGATATCATGACCAATGATGCTTATAGAGATGATGATGAGAAGGAAGAAAAGAACAAAGAGAAAAAGGATGAGAAGAATAGTGTGGCATTCAAAGTCAGTTCATCATCCAAGGGCAAGGCCAAACAAGATACATCAAGTAAAGATGATGGCTAATGGGATGATGATGATGAGAAGATGGCTCTCTTTGTTAAGATATTTGGCAAGTTCATGGTGAAGAAGGGCTACCATGCTAGAAGAAAGAAGTCTTCATCAAGAACAAGGAAGAGTCAAGAAGATGATTCAAGTGTGGAAGAAAGGATTATCTTATGGCCCAATGCCCATATAATAGCGACAATGATGATGATGACAAGAAGAGCAAGAAAAAAGATAAGAAGGACAAGAAGGAGAAGAAGGACAAGATGACCTTCAAGAATAAGAAGAATGGTGGTTTATATGTGGTCACTTAGAATAGTGATGCTTTCTCAAGTGATGATGATGATAGTGATGATGATAAGACCACCAAGAAGAAGGCTCTTGTAAGCATTGCTATTAATGAGAAGCCTTCTCTCTTCGACACTCCATCATGCTTCATGACTAAGGTCATTAAGGTACAATCCGATGATGAGTGTGATGATGAGGAATATGATAAAAATGAAAGTGATAGTGATGATGATGATGAACCCACTAAAGATGAATTAATTGACATGTTAGATGATGCTAAGGAATATTTTGACATTAAGAGAAGAGAATACAAAGACTTGCGAAAGAAACTAAAAGCCCTTAAGCAAGCCTTTGATGAGCTCAATGCATCTCATGAGAGGCTAGAGGAAGCCCATGAGAAACTTGACAAGGCTTATAAGAAGCTTGAAAAAGTTCATTCCTCTCTACTTAATGAGCAAAATGAGAAGGAGCATGTTATAACATGTGACAAAGGCTTAACTTATGATATAATTGATGAATCATTCTATAAGTCTATTATTGTTGCTCCCACTAACCCTTCTTGTAGCACATCCACTTCTAGCTTATCTAGTGGTGATGGTCTCACTTGTAATGCCTTACTAATGGTTGAGAATGAGATACTCAAGAAGGAGGTAAAAGAGCTCAATTCACACCTTGGCTAAGGCTTATGGTGGTGAGGACCGTTTGCTTATGTGCTTGGGTAGCCAAAGAGCTTCTCTCTACAAAGAGGGATTGGGCTATACCCCAAGAAAGGCAAAGTGACATTTGCTCCTCACAAGACTAGTTTTGTGAACAACAATGATCGGATTTGCACTAGTTGCA